TATTTACACATGTGTGTCTGGTTTATTTCACTTATGAGTATATGTTCAAGTGGCATCCACTTCAATATAAAGGCTTGCAGTTTATCATTCTTAATAGCCAAATAATACTCCATTGTATCACAAGGTCTTGTAAGCAGGGAGCTCTAACATAGAACGTCCATCTTGCATCCAACCTCCCTCCCACCAGGGAGAAGAGTGTGAACAGGAATATGGGAAGGTGGCAAGACAGACTTGTGCAATTCTGGGAAGATTCAAGAAGATACAAAGCAGGAAGTAGATCTGTAGTAGAGTGAGGGAGATCTTTAGCCTGGTATGAAAGAATCTATAAAGCACAGTAAGTGAGAAAATTCAAATAATGAGTATAGTAGATACTGTAAAAGGGAAAGAATCTGTTCAATGGAAAGACTGGGATGAGGAAAAGGAAAAAAGAAAGTAGAGAAAAAGATATTCATGTATACATGCAGGATAGTTTAGATAATTATACTGCTGATTTCTGAGAGTCTATTGCAAGAAGCTGTTAATGCATATATTTTTAAATTTTTTCTTACTTTAATTTCTTATAACTTTTAACACCAATTGTACAGGTTTATATCTGGTAACCTTATCAAGTAATTTGAAGATGACATGCAATACAGCCATTGTCAAATTCTTATTACGTTGCTTAACGAAATTTTGTATTGTTTCTAATTTTTTACCATTTTGTAATCTTTAAAAATAAATATTAAAAAAAATTCAAGGATTGTCATGTTAATCTGTACTAATACTGGATTATTTTGAGCATGACAGGTGCATGATATAAACATGCAACATTTAATAAATAATTATCAAGTATGGACAGTTTTAAAAACCCCAAACTCATGTTCACAAGCTGTGGAGTTATTTCAGAGCTAGAAATCTAGGATCAAGCTGATAATACTGAAGCCAAGGACGTGAGAACACACATATCCCAGAAGCAAGGAGGCATAGAGAGGAACTTCGATGTCATGTAGACAAAATATGCCACTATACCTAAAAGGTAAGCAAGACAGTCACTTACTGGCTCAGAAGCTTCTTTTGTAGGCTCTGCGGTGGATTTGTTGAGCACTGCCCCAAACATCCCAAGCCCAGGTCGAAGGGAGGCTTCCCCAAAAACTTGAACAAGGTAGGAATCAAAATCTTCACAAATTTTTTTAGACAACTTTTGCTTCAGGGTGTCTTTAAAAGGGAAATAGAAAGGGAGATAGCAGGAACAATAGCATGTTACCTAAAACCCGGTTAAAGAGAAGAGCATTCTTAAAACAAATATCATCGGGGCTGGTGAGATGGCTCAGTGGTCTAAAGCACCTACTTAGAACAAGCTTAGTACAGGGACGGTGGTTCAATCCCCCAGCACCACATGCCAGCCAGCCCTGCCCCCTGGTGGGCTGAGCTGGCCACACACACACACACACACACACTATAAATAAATAAATTAATTAATTTAAAAAGACAACAAATATCATCACATTATGTAGAATCAATCCCTAAAGCAAAATAATATAGAAAGTATTTTTGCTAGATCTGTCAGAGGATATCTAAAATAACTACTTGATAATACACAAGGGTACAAGACAAGAGTTACTTAACTGCTTGTTTATACCAAGCATTGATTAACTGAGGATTACTCTGTGTAATGGGCTAGCCTCACTCATTATAAGTAAAATAAGCAATTACTTCTGGTTTTAGGATAGCAAAAGGCCCTCCAGCCCAACAATTTACTCCTTCTGTAACAACTTATAAATTCATTCACATAAGATGAAAAAGTTCTTCAATTGTTAAAATACAAATTTTTCTGAAACACATAAAACCTTGGGCCATTGTAACAAATATTTAGCCCAGTATAACAGAGCTGGGGAGATAGATTGGCAATCTCAGTGCCTGCCTGGAAAACCCAAGGACCCAAGTTTGATCCCCAGTACTGCATGCCATGTTGGCCCCTGAACCCCGCGTGCACTGTGTTAACCCCAAAATCAGGAGTGGTGGTGCACACCTGTAATCCCAGTGCTGCTGAGACAGGAAGATCAGTATGAGTCTGAACTGTGCAGTGAGACCATGTATCCAATGAATAAATAAATAAAATATTCCAGATAAACCCACCAGTCACCCAGCGAAGTGCTGAGGAAATGAGACTCATGATGCCAGAAAGCGCCTGGCAAGGGCAGGGTCCTGAGTTCAATTCCCAGAACCAAAAGAAGAAAAAAAAAAGATGTCATAATGCTCCTGAAAATGAAGGAAACAGTATGTGGACAGCTTTCTGAGCCTGAAAAGCCATCCCTAGGGCTGCTGGTGCTGGCACCTGGCACGGGGCGCTGAGAGTCTGTGCCCTGCCACAAATCCCCTGTTCCCCAGTGGGCGGCAGAGGAAGGACGATGGCAGACTGAAGCCTGCACCCACGTCAGCGCAGCTCGTACTTACGGTGCAAAGGCTTTCACCGACAGGCCCTGCCAGAATGAGTCATCAGTTTCCAAAACACTGCCGCATATTTCATCATAAAGTGATATGAGTCAAGGCTTTAGCTTGCCTCATTAGTAAATATTAGTTAACAAGAACGAGTGAATTTAGCAAAGGGAAGCAGTTAGATTTGCATTAGTATAATACATACCCAAAAAGTTGTCTCCTCACTTTAGACTGTCACAATTTTATTAGTCACCAAGCTTCTTTTTTAACTTTTTTTTTTTTTTTTTTTTTTTCATTTTAGGTATTTGGTACAGGGTCTCACTATGTAGCTCGGACTCATAGTGATCCTCCTGTTTTCAGCCTCCCCAGCACTGGGATTACAGGTGTGCGCCACCATGCCTAGACTCAGTCACTGGCTCAGGGCGCCCCGGGGGTGGGGCTGGCACAGCATGCAGGACCGGGGATGACCAAACCCTGTTCCCTGTATTTGTCAAAGCAGACCCTTAGTCAGCTGAGTTGTCTTGCTGGCCTATTTTTTTTTTTTACTTCATTGTGATTTTAGGGTTGTTTTCTGCCTTGTTGGTTCACTCTATCCCTTATTCTAGCTAAGGAACTTTCTGAACATTAACCAATCTTAGCAATATCCCAAATTCCTGTTCTTTCTCCTTGTTTTGGTCTGTTGAACACACTCCAGTAAGAAAGGTCCAATGTCAGCTTACCACTTACCACACATGAATAAAGACAGAGAATTACCTTGCCAAACTGGATGGTACAAAACTTTACTGCCTTCTGTAGTTTATGATTTACAATTGGATTACTGTCATGACAAGCCTCATTAGCCTCCTAATTTCTTTTTTGGTCAGGATGATCTAGTGATGAAATACTCAGAAGAACAAAGTCCTTTTTCCAGGGACAGCCTTACCTTGCAGGGTAAAGAAATCATCAAACTGATACACGTGCTCTGGGTCCGTAGCAATTACGCTCATTTCTTTGTGGAATATTTCAAAGTTGGGGTCATTTTTCTTCACCACCCCAATCACAAATCTCTCCACATTGGCATCATTAGCATCTTGCACCACTTCTGCCAGTTTCTTTTTGTCTCGGGAATCTGTCTGCCCATCAGTGATGACCAAGGCCACCTTCTTCACGCCTGGCCTTGCATCCCTGAACATGTCATTGGCTGCCTGAAGAGCAGTGGCTGTATAGGTGCCTTCCCCCAGGTACTGCATGTTGTCCACTGCCAGTTTCAAGTCATCCTTGCTGGAGAACTGCTTCAAATTAGCCACCATCTCCACCTTATGGCTGTAATTGATGATGCCTATTCGGGCTGTGGCGAGGTCCAGAGCAACACGGTCAGCCAGAGTTTTCACAAAATTTTGGATGATCTGGAAGTTCTCAGGCCCCACGCTTTCTGAACTGTCAATCACAAACACCAGCTCCAGTGGCATCTCCTTGCATTTGGGTCCACAACCTAAAAGATGAATGTTGAGATGGAAACACTGCAGGAATGAAAAGAAAAGAGGCATTCCTGAACTGTGCCACATTGGAGGAGAGGGACAGGGCAGGGGAGGGGGACCCTGAATTCCTTTTTTTAAAAATTTTATATATTTTCGGGAAGGGTCTGCAGAATGTTCAGGGTCTCACTACTAGATTAGACTCATAGTGATCCAGCTGTTTACAGTCTCCCAAGAGCTGGGATTACAGGCGCGTGCCACCACACCCAGTCTCAATTGCTGTCTCAGCATGCCCTGGGGGTGAAGCTGGCATAGCAGGCCTGGGGATTGAACCCCCGGCCACTGCACCTGCTTGCAGGTGCTTTAATCCATTGAGCTACTTGGCCCGCCCTTGAATTCCTTTTATGATACTCTGGAAACCACTAAAAATTGTCTACATTCTGGTTTCTATACTAGGCTCTTTAAAAAAAAAAAAAAAGCATGCATTTTTTAAGGAAAGAAAAAGATAAGACACTGAAAATAGTAAACAACTATGAGTCTGTTCCTTAAATTAAAATACAACACTTCTTACAAGTTAGTATACCCTGTGTATGTCTTCCCGGTTGTACTCCGCTCCCTCAGCCCCTAACTATGTACTATACTAAATTTGGTCTTCATTCTTCCATTTGCGGTTAACCTAAAAGCTGATATTTTAGCCTTCAACCACATCTTTGAGAAAAGAGATTTGATTACTAGAATGCCCAATGGATGAAGTAATGGGATGAAAACTACTAATTGTGGGGAAGTTTGGGGGCCTTGAACAGTCCCCAAGAATAGCTCCCCTTAAGTATTCTAGTTTAGTCCACCACCCACACCTCCTCAATGGCTTTCACGTTATCAGAGAGGTCCATCCCTACTACAGAACTTTTTGAGAAGAGTGATCTGAGAAAATACTGTGAATAAACAACTTATATTCAGGTCATTGAACAACCATCTGGTGCAGTTTCCAGAATTCCCAGGAAATAAAAATTATCAAGTTTCAATTATTATATTTATATTCTCATGTGGCCCAACAATCCTATCACAGGAAAACATCAGGAAGCAGGGCGCTATTTTTACAGGGAGCTCAGATGTCACATCCAAATTGGCCTGTGACTAGAGTCACAGCTGGTTTTGAGGTCTAAAAGTCTTTCAGGGGACAGGCCAGCTCCAGGACTCTGCCCATGATGGAAGGATGCCATTGCAGCATCTGTCCAAGTATAGGAGCTTCTTTCATTACTATTCCATTCCATTCATCGGTTCCTTCTGTCTAACCTCCCTCTCTTTTCATTTCCTCTCATTGATAAATATTTTTCAGTCTTAAATGCTCAGCCAGGGAAGCACCTAGAGTTGTGAGGCAAGATGAACACCTGAATGTCTCCCACCTTGGTGATCAAGGGCAAGACTAGATATTGTACTCAAAAGTCAAATCAGGAAGCTTTCTTGGCTTCAGAGAAAACACAGACATCATAATCAGCATAGCCAGCATAATCAGTATAGCTGGACTGGACTCAGACACCACTTGGGCTCTTGTCATATTTACTTTGCTGCATTTGTATTCCCAAGCTCAGGTAAATGGCACTGACCACACATGCGCGTGGTGCTTCGTTTCCACACACTGTAGCCTGGAACCTTCGCATTCCCTATCTGCCCTGGCACAGTGAGTTCCTTTGCTTAAATCAGGGTTTGCAAACTCTGTCGTTGCTTCCTCTACTTCTTCTCTGACTTCAAAGGAACTTCATGTCTCCCCGCAGCCATGTAATGTGCCCCTTCTGAGTAAATGCATTAGCACATAGTAAGGCTGGTACTTTAAAAAGCTAAAATCTTACCACATATTTCAAAAATAAGTTTGATAATTTCTTCTTTCTGGGGGAAAAGGGAAAACACATCAACATTAGATGTAGGACCATAGTTTGTTCTCCCCCTCCCCATGGTAAAGATGCACCTTATTACAGCCAGCACTTAATCCTTGCAGTATAGAAAATAAAATGAATAGCACAGAAGTTAAAAGTTGGACATAATAGATTATAACTGAAATGAGATTGAGTTATGATACTTTAAAGCTCAAACTTGCGGAGTTCAAACTGCAGCTCTGTCATCAGCAGCTGTGTGACGTTGGCAGTCAGGTGACCTAACAGTGCCTGTGCCTTGGGGCTGTGGTGTGCTGTGGATTAAATGAGGCCGAGGCACAAGACTCCTAGCACAGGCCGGGCCCACTAAGCCCTACATATGTGCTGAGCAACAAAGACAACCGCCAGGGACTGAAGAGGGCTCCTCTATGCCATATCGCCTCCTCTTTTTCTGAACTGATTTCCAATTTTGACAGTTCATTCATCAATTGTTTCCAACTATTCTTTTTTTTTTTTTTTTTAGGTATTTAGTTCAGGGTCTACGGGGTCTCACTACACAGATCAGATTTGTAGTGATCCTCCTGTTTTCAGTCTCTCAAGCGCTGGGATTACACATGCAAGCCACCATGCCCAATCTCAGTCTCAGCACAGCTTGGGAACAGGACTGGCAAAGCATGCCGGGGATTGAACCCCATTCCCTCTGCCTCCCTAAACAGACGCTTTAGTTCGCTGAGCTATCTGGCTGGCCCGAGTTTCCAACTATTTTGACTTTCGTTCCTCCACGAAATATCTTGATGATACTGAGTACTTCTCCTTTGTTTTTCTTGCCGCCTGTCACCTCCATCTGAAGGGCTTGCAATGGGCTGCGTACCAAAAATGAAGCTGCCAGCGCCCTGGGCTGTGTTTACAAGACACTGGAATGAGGCGAGAGAAGACAGAATTCTTCATTTGCCAGACATGAAGCCAAGGGGGTGAGTAATAGAAGCTCAGATCTCAACAAGGAGAGGCAGTAAATTCAACCTAAGAGAACAGAACTGAGCAGATGCAAAAGCAGTTTTCAAGAGCACACTTATAATAATAGAAGTGGGAGTTAGAGGAGACACAGCTAAGAGCAATAGGCAGCATGACCTAAGAGCTATATACACAGCAATGAAATACTCAGATCATTTTCATCTAATTTAATTTTTTACATTACAAATGGAGTAAAAAGGAATGATTCTAAATGGCTACTTAAAAATCACACAAAACAAGGGAGTCAGCAGCCACTTTTTTTCCCCTGGGGCCTTATGATACTCAACATCTAAAGAAACTTTGAATAAATGTAAAACTACAGAACTGCGGAGAGTTCAGCGGCTTAAGCACCTGCCTGGCAAGTGCAAGTATCGGGTTTGATCCTCAGTACCACATGCCAAGCCGCCCCAAAATGAACCAACCACCTAAACTGGGCATGGTGGTGCACCCCTATAATCTCAGTGATGGGGAAGTTGAGACAGGAGGATCACTACACGTCTGAGCTGCACAGTGCTAGACCCTGAACCAAATAAATAATTTTTTAAAAAACTAGAATGCATACAGAAAGAGAAATGTATGTCTAGAGTCAGTATATTTAGAAGGAGGAAATCTATATATTTATGGATTTACATTTAATTTTCTACATGTGGAAAAAATACTCTTCACCAAGTTTTATTATTGTAGTTTTTCAGTTAATGTCGTAGCACACAGCTTTCTACCTTACTAAGTATTTTGACGAGCTTGTCCACTCAAGTCAAATGCATGGTCATTTGTAAGGCTCTCCGATGACTGTTGCTACTCTGTCCCTCAAAGAAGTTGCAGTAACTAGACCCTCCTTCACAATACACAAGAAAACTGCACGACATGAGTTTATGAAGTTGATTAGGCCTGGCTGAGTTTGATGCACACATAGGTCACACTCAATTCCAAATGTTACTGTTATTATAAAGTCATTGCACTTTGATACAACAAAATATGTTTTAGATTGTATTTGTGAGTGAAGTCAAATTTTATTTCCTATGTGTGCTTCTAAGTTATATTCGCTCATGCAATCTCTGTATAGCCTTCATACCATTTTTTCCATTGGGATCTTTG